TCTTAATCTATTCTGGATTTTTAAACAAATATATTAGTTATGGTAATAAAATCATAACACGGAAACCACCCATTTTTTGTGTTAACCTAATTTTGTTAAATCATTACACTTACTGAATTTCACTGGAGGTCAGAGATCAACAAAAATGTGTAATTCTATCGCTTAAACTTTTTTTTATAATGTATAGTTGCTAATATGTGTTTGTACATGTATGTATATTATAAATAAGTCATAAATCAAAATGTTTTATTTTAGTAACATGAAAGCTCTGTACAGTATACTGTAAATTACATTAAGAATTGCATAAATATTTAAATACAGAAAATTCCCCAGTACTATTTAAAAGATTTTTAAAAATTAATTTCTAAAAATTATTACCGATAACATTTTAAATTTAGTAAATATTTGCATCAAAATGTTTAGACAATAATGTTATTTTTTGTACTTTAATAATTTATTAAGTTAAACAATACAAATTTGTATACCTGTATTTAAAAATATTTGATATTAATATTTTCATTATAAAACCATTTTATTTTTTATTTTTTAAGTTTTAATATTAAATATCAACTAAATTACAGAAATTAGCTAGAAAAAATACAAATTTGTATACCTGTATTTAAAAATATTTGATATTAATATTTTCATTATAAAACCATTTTATTTTTTATTTTTTAAGTTTTAATATTAAATATCAACTAAATTACAGAAATTAGCTAGAAAAAGTTAGCTATCTATATTAGGAAAGACTTTTAGAAAATAACAAAAATTATAAAAACAAATTGTATGATAGATAAAATGATAAATTATCTTAATTGTGACTTAAAATGAATTTTTATAATAAACAATTTACTATATTGTAGTAAAAATTCATTAGAAGTTAACTGAATCGGTAGTAAACGTATATCCCGTGGAATAACCATTGTATGACTTTTTAAGTGAACATAAGGTTTAAATGGTTTGTTGTTGCAGTATATAATTACAACACTTTTCCTCGGTCATATTTCAATATAATAATAAATATTGTACTACTATAGTAATATTTTTCATTTTTCATTTATGAATTATTATCAATTTTAATAATTTGTTTTTTATAGTTATTAATTACAACTAAATTTACAATTTTATATGTATGAATATTTAAAGAATAGTCAATGAAACTTTAATTAAATTATCAGATAAATGATAAAAAAAATTATAAACATCTAAAAAGTTTATTAAGAAATCAATGGGTTATTTGCCAACAAAAATATCACTTTAAATTAAACGCTCATATATTTATGATTAACATAAAGTAAAAACTTTTCAAAATGCAAATTCTGTGAACACAACAAGTTTGTTTCAAGTTTGTGTTTTATATCCAATAGAATCTATCATTTTTTGAATCCCAGTTTTAAGAATTGATTTATGAAATAGTCAATTAAAAACTTATTGTAAACTATTTATTAACTGCATTCATACGAATTAATATTGATACTATTTATTACCATTTTATTTAATTTTGTTAATAAATGCAAAACGATTTTGAAAACCCATAAAATGTTGAACGAGATACTATCAAATATAGTAATTAAATTAATAAACTCATTAGTGATCGCCTACACCTACACAACACTACCTCTGTATTACTACAGACAAAAGCCATGGCTTAGGCTGAAGAAGGCAAGGGAGGAGAGGGCTATTCCGGAGAACCCTCTGGACCCGGGCAGCGCCTGGCGTCGCACAGGGAGTACCGATCCGAAAGTGAGTGCACTTGAAACGGGAACAGTGGACTGTATGCTGGAAACGGCGGCTAAGAATTATGGCAAAAATTATACGATAGTGGGGGTTAAGGTGCACGACGGGGGCAAATATTTTTACGACTGGTTTACGTACGGCGATGTGATTAGACGGGTCGACCACATCGCCAAAGGGCTGAAACTGGTAGGCGTCGGGGCCGGCGATAAAGTGCTCATATTTGCCGAAACACGACTCGAATGGATATTATGTGCGTTCGCTGTCTTCAAATTGGGTGGTATTGTGACCACACTTTTCGCACAGTTAGGTCTCGATGGTATTGTCCACGGAATCAATCAAGTATTGCACACTATATTCACTAATATTTTTCATATTAAGTATCTTACTAATCATAAGTATCATAGTATTTTACTAATTAGTTATGCAGAATATTAATTACTAATCTTAACAGAATTAGGAATAAAATATAATTGTGAAATATTTTATTTTATATAATTAATTCATAATTTATATTAATACCAACATTGAGCGAAATTTGTTAGAAATAAAAACTAAATAAATACAAATTAGCTTAAATTAAGTATAAAATTTTTAATTTACAAAATGTAGACTCAAGTGAAGTATGCGATCACAACCAAACAACAACTCATAAAACTGCGGTCAGTCTTGACTCAAACACCAAGCATTCAGAAGATCATAGATATGGACGGGCAGTCTATGGGCGACGGAACCGTTGATATCATGTCTTTAAAACAAGTGGAAATGAATGGCAAGAAATCTGATATTAAACTCTCGGAACTCAAACACCAAGCATTCAGAAGATCATAGATATGGACGGGCAGTCTATGGGCGACGGAACCGTTGATATCATGTCTTTAAAACAAGTGGAAATGAATGGCAAGAAATCTGATATTAAACTCTCGGAAACCACTCTTAATAAACCGGAAGATTTGGCACTAATTATGTATACGTCGGGAACTACTGGGGCTCCTAAAGGTAAGTCATAAAAATATAATATAGAAAAATATAAATTTCAATTATTTGCATTTTGTGATACAGGTGCGATGGTAACTCACGATCAGATACTATCGCAGTGTATATCCAACTTATGTATTATTAAGCACGAATTGCCGAACATTAAACGGCACTGTTATGTGGCATACCTCCCATTGGGACATATGTTTGAATTCACGGCTGAAATGCTATTCTTCGGATGCGGTTGTCGTATGGGTTACGCCTCTCCCCTTACTTTATTTGAAGGGGCGGCTGGACTGGCACCGGGAGAAACTCCAGATCTCGTTCTACTTAAGCCGACCATCTTTTTGGCCGTCCCTTTGGTTTTGGACAGAATTAGGAGAGGGGTTACGGAACAGTTGGAGGGAAAGGCCATTGCGAAGGGAATATTCAATAGTCTACTCGATTATAAGACTTATTGGAGAAGCAAAGGATATACCACTCCTCTCACCAATTATTTCTTGTGCCGAACGGCTCGTCAAAAACTTGGCTCAAACGTGTTATATATGCTGGTTGGAGGGGCACCGGTATGTTATATCAAACATACTGTACATGCAATTTAATATTTTACATAAAATTATTAAATGACTGATAGGTATCGATCGAAACGGAGCGACTAATTTCCCTGATATTTGATGTCTACCTAATACAAGGCTATGGGGGCACTGAAGTGTGCGGTGCATCCCATGCCCGGGATGCCTATGATCTCAC